ACAAACACTATAAGCGAAAATATGAAAACGTAAAATATCTGAAAATTACGTGAATGTATATTTTTTGAATATGATTCTTGCAAGGTGACAGCGTTAAGTAACAAAATTTTTCCAGTTACTAGTGAAAAAATTTTGAAAAATAAATGTAAATACAAGTGACATGAAATTGAAGTACATATAACATGCGAAGTATCAAAGCGAGTAGATATAACTTGGATTCTTTTTAAATATAAGAATGATTTGTTCTACGCCTAACCTGTTCTCTCTTCAATCTTGATTTCTGCTGAATCCAACAAAAAACTTTATCGACATATACAAACTCCTTATTGTAAAGCACACTATTGAGTATGTATTGATGCCATTTTTCCAGTGGCTTTGTTACACGTACAATATTCTCTTTTACACTCGTTACAGATTTAATCAGACGACTACGTGGACTTTCTGATGACTCGTCAGAAGATAAATCACTTTCTTCCATTTCCTCCGTACTGCCATTCTCGTACGAATGTTCATCATCATTACTATCACTGCTACTCGAAGAATCAATCGAACTCTCCTCTTCTACTTCTTTAATTTCCTTATCCATAGTCATTAGCTCAACCTATACAAGTTTGAGATCACTGGCAGAGCACTGATCTACAATGATCCAGAGAGATGTCCATCTGGTCATTAATTGTTTCTCATGCAAATTACTGCCACATTTATAGTCTAACACTTTACTAGAATAGTAGAAGTTTATATGAAAGTGGATTTAATATTCGCAATTCATCTGAATTCTAATGATTATATCCGGCTGTATAAAATAAAACATATCAGCCATTAATAAAGACAATATAATTCTTGAAGTACTCGACTGAATCAGTGAAACGTTTAACAAGATTTTTGCAAAATTATTACCAGAATACGCAAATTATAACACGACCAGCACACTGGTTCACTACCAGTTTCTCATAAGGCTGGATGTTCACTGGCGAAAAATATTTATAATGCATAAATATGCATATTAGGATAAAAAACAATCCTTACTTTTAGATCAAACTTTAGCTGTTGGCGATTCCTCTAGAAAATTACTTGAAAACTAAAGTTTTAATGCTTGAATACAAACTAAGTTTATGAGCATACAGAAAAATCCCATTCACTTTTGGATCAGAATCTGAGAAAATTAGTACACTGTTAGCGATACCAATGACTGTAATTTATTAAGCAAATGTCATCATAACTACAACTGAAGGATTGAATCCTATCTTAAAAAAACGGTTAATGTAGTGAATAAATACTCGAATAGAATAAAACATAAAATAGTTTTTCCAAGATTTCGCTAAAAATCATTTTCCAAAAGGTCGTGAGATATATCCTTGCTTATAGCCAGCGGGTTCAATACCACCACTTAATGATGCGCCAATACTATAGATAGGCTTGTCGCCATAGTCTTCGTCAGGTAAAACATGCATGTAAGATCCGATTGCCTAAATAGGAAACTTAATTACAGAAAAACCATGAATATAAAATATAGCATTAAATGAAAATTACTGCATTTTCACAATTTTTTATAAAATAAATATAAATAGATTTTTAAAGATAAATGCGTGTGACCTGACGATTGCCATTAGCACCCATTTCAACCATCGAATAATATGGTCGTAATAAACTTAACATTTCTGAATCTCCACCACCGACCAAATCTCCAATCTCAATGAATTACTATCAACATGTCTCAATAAAATCAAAGCGAATATTTATGGCCATGTCATTTTAGGCTTTTCTCATTCTGTTTTATAAACAATGCAAGAAATTCGCAAACCTCATCTAAATCTTTCATGCCTTGTTCGCTGTATCCGACTGATGTTGTCAATACTAATTCATCAGTTTCTGGATCTAAAAACAGTATCGTTGTGCAGCCATTGTTCAACGCAACAAAAGTTTTATATATCTTTATTTAATTCGTTCTAACTACTAAACAGAAATTTTCATTCCAAGTATTGAGCAACAATCTTGCAGAATGCATACATTTACATCATCGAGGATGAAAATTTAAGCTGTAGATAAGACAATCGACTTTTGCAGAATACTAGTACAAAAGATGAAAAACAAAAAATCTACCAAAAACTTCGGCTTCAGATTTTTGGTAGAATCTTGGCTCGAAGTGTTTTGCCCATTGCATATCCATCAATTTCATAGGTTGAGCAAATAATCTCAGCACTAAGAAAAAAATCTTAGATCTTCATACATCTAATCCTTTCATTTTTGAATATCCCACCTTTATCTGTTGAATACTTTTTGCAATGCATAAAACTTAAGCAATAATTTTACAGTTAAATTGCTTTAATGCTACAATTTACTAAAACCAATAAATTGAAAATTTTCTTTTCCCTAAAATCGTAACCAATGCTGAGTTAAACATTAGCACATTTTCATAAAAAATTTGAGTGAAATATTCAAATGAAGTTTGATTATACGCAACAAAGTGCGAGCAAAAAGTAACAATTTGAAATGATAAGACAGTGATGACCGAAAATATAATTACTGTACTAATTAAATAACTTACAATTAATAATTAATAACAGAACGCAACAGAGATAACGTGATCGGTCAGCCATCACTACAAAGATTACTTCTACTTGACCTATTTTGAACTGTCTGATCAAATGGTCAATTCAACTAACTACTCAATGACTCGTTTATCGCCATAATAATCAATTATGTATCTGAAAAGAACAGAACATTAACAGAATGATTTTTCTTAATCACTCAGTTATCAAACATGATTATGATCACAAGACACAAGAAGACTAAAGACATTTCTGCTCACACTTTGACTCAAATGAATTTTCAATTAAAAAAGTTTAAACCTTTGACAAGCAATATGTGCCAGTAAATGATTGATACTTTCAAAATTACTTTTAAAAAATTTACTTTGAAACTCATGTTCATAGATTGAAAGAAAATTGCATAATTTTCTGAGGGAGGAAATAAAGTACTGAACATGTTGATGTGAAATTTCATCTATTAAGTTATTAGAATTAAGTTTATTCATTTTCAGGATTAAAGGTCAAAACCTGTAATCGCATTATGTTTGATATATTGCTGCAAAAGATGGCAAAATAATTTCGGCGGGAAAATTTTCGACTGATGGGCGACAGCGTGTTCCAATATTGGTCTGTTTTTGTGCTATTTTGATAATTTATCTGTGTTTTGAGGAATTATTCGCATTGTTTTTGTGACTTTTTGGTCATTATTTTTGTCTTTCAACTATATTGATCGGAATCCTCACATGCGTTGTAAAATCAATATTAAAATATTGAACGAAATTATAAATTTGTTTTAATATTGAGATCAAAGGTTATAAATAAGCTTTTGTCAAGTAATAAAGGTTGTAAAGTTCTATACAAAAAAATCCAGGATACCTCGGTATCGTGGATTTTTTTGTGTGTTATAAGAAATACTTATGTAGTTATAATATCAAAATCATAATTTCACAAATTTCATTCACCTGTATAGCGAATTTCATGATGGCTTCGAACTCATAATATTCTGTCAGATGAATGGTTTCGTTCTATTTGGTTGTAGCTTTACTCATTAATTTCAGTAGATTCTAGTCACTGAATAGTTATTCAGTAGTTATCATCTGCCGAAACGTTTATTCAGTAACTAGTATCTAATATCGGTAGATGATAATGAATAAATAACTGAACTCTAAACTTTTGAGATCAGAATAAAAACAAACATAATGGAACCAACCAATATTCTTACAACTGTTTTCTCAGCCTTTAATGAAGTCTGAAATACTGCAGATTTGTAAGTGTTCCATATTTTAATGGTTATGAATCAAATTAGCTCTCATCTAATTCAAATTAGCTTCATTTAATGTAGTCCATGAAGTATTATCGCTACAGATTCGTAAGGTGATTGCTTTCATAATCGTTTGTAGTAAAGAGTGGAAGGTGAGATTATAGTGATCCCATAAAAGTTTTCAGATAACATTCAAATTCAAAATGGATAGCATTATTTGCAGCAACAGGTCGCGTGAAATTTTGAAAGAATACAAGGAAAATCAAGAATTAGCAATAGCTTTGGTTAACAATCACAATAACATTGGTAATTACTGAAATTGTTCCACATTATCGGTCTTAATATATCTTTGTAGGTATGAAATCTTTATGATGCTTTCAGATTTTTCGCATATGTTTGACGTGCTGGAACAAATGCGACAAAATTGGTATTACGAGAAAGTGCGAGTGAAAACACTCGAAGAAGAGCTTCACGAAAAGAATAATGAGAAAGAGTCATTTCGTTTTTATATTGAATTTGTTATTTATATTTTGCAGAAGTGAAACGAATTTTATGTGTTCACAGAAAGTTTTCGTATCTCATGCATATACATTTTACTATTGCTTCGGATGTTTTTATACCTTGATATTAGATTTCAATACATTTGGGTTGTTTGGCCGTGAGTTGCGTAAGAGGTTTATGTACTTTTTGAGGCAAATGTATGAGTGCATGAATGTATTAGTTGATATTTTAGTACACTATGGAAAGAAAATCATATATATAAGGAGCAGCTTCGAGATGCCCGATCACAGATCACAACCTTAATTTCGGAGAATATGAGCATGAAGCAGGATATCATAGAATGGGAACGAAAATTTGAACTTGTTAATGAACTTTTGAAGGTCAAACTTCATGGAGGCTATCAATACTTAAAAGAAAATATTTCTTAGAATTTTGCATTTCTTAAAAAAAAATTCTTTATAGGATCAATCAAATTTGAGTGACGAAAACAGACATAAATTGCTACAGAGCAGCAAGACATGGGAATCAAAATCCTTTAGAAAGAAGAAAAAACGCACTACTAGCATGAATACTTCTTGTCGTTCCTCGAATGAAGAAGAGATCGATTTCGATAAAAGTGACAACTCTCTTGACGAGTCACGGCTGCGAAATGGAAAGGTTTATAGAAGGCTAGTAATTTCAGTGTTCGTTTGGTCAGTTCATGCTCTTAGTGTCAGTTTCCTGCAATTCTTCATGTTTAGGTCAAGTAGTATGATTTCATTAACTGCAAATCGCTGCTCAGTAGTGGCTGGCAAGAAACATAAGCAAAGCATGTTGATTAGTACAGTTGATGAGGAGATGGTAAGATTCCATTTGTTTTTTATGCAATTTAGAACCATTCTTATTGGTATTTTTTGTTAACTTATACACTGTGTATTCAAAAGTTTTAGACTACATCTCCTAAACGATCTAAAAGTGGTTCTGAAGTTGCAGTTTCAACAGCTGTTGCAGCAGATCATGAAGGCAAAAAGTCTCCCGTGGCTGATGCCATCACGAAACGTCCAATGGATCGTTCATATTCAACAGCACAACTTGATGTTTGCGAAATTTTTATTTACTTTAATTTGCTCATTAATAGTTTTTTAGTTTTTATTCAAGTTAAGGTGAAGTATATTCGGATTATTTATGTTTTAATCAAAGTTTATAAGATTATAATAACTGTCAACATTATCAATAATATTTTTACAAACTGCAGTAAATTTTAATGTCCATGAAAGTCGATGATTATAGCAGCTAGCAGATGTGACAACATTAACAGCAGAGACTTTAACACCACGAACTGCTAGCAGCACCACAGATGTGTAAGTTTATTTATAAATTATTATTTTTGGTTTTCAAGAAGCAAATATGTATATGCCGTAAATTTCCTTATTTATTTTCAGTTTTGCACTGCAGTTTTTTTTTTAGTCTTGAAAACATAAAAGTACTTTAGCTTATTGCACTGATCATTTTTTTAGTTTCGTTTCAGGTCGTTTTATTAGAAGTGTAGAATCAGAAAGCAAACTTTATAAAATTTTTTAGGAATCCTTGCGCTAGTAATTTATGACAGCTTTATTAGTTATTCCATATTAGTATAAATATATTGTGTTATCCTTTTCATCCGCATAGTGTAAAAATGCTTCAGTTGTGTTTATTTACAATCGTAATATAAGGTCGTTAATGAAGGGACGAAGAACGTTTCCTTTCTATAATTTATTGTCTTCCAACTCGCAGAATGTTGCATGAAAAATAAAGACTTATTAAAATTTGTTTTATAAAATAAAATTTTTTAAAGGCATACTCCTGTCACTAAAACATGGACTCATGGTGGATTAATCAAAAACCGCCCACATACCTACATCAGCCACAGTTCAATTCTCGGAGATCACTGCGGTGTGTGCAATGGTTGGATTGGAATTGTTGGAAAACAAGCTTACAAATGTTATGGTCATTTTTCATATACTTTGGTCGATCACTTATTTTCTCTTACCATTTTCTTGTCGATATTTAGCTTTAAAATGAATTTCAGGAACGATTATTTTAAAGATGTTTTAGTGATAAGAGTTAGGATTAATTGCAAAGTGATTAGCAAACATATGAATAAATAGTGAACTCCATGGTGCTTTGCAGTATTCATTTGTATTTAGATTGTGGATTGCATGTTCATAAAAGCTGTACTGAAAAAGCGCCCATGCCGTGTATACCACGAATTTCAACTCCTCGCACACCAAGCAAGCAACGACCACGTTTGAAAGATCTTTGTCCTGTATTACAACCTATGATACCACCAATCCTTATCCATTGCATTTTAGCTCTGGAGAAAGATAGAATGAGCACAGAAGGCATTTATCGAATTCCTGGGTAATATTTTAGGCTCCACAGAATTGCATTATTCTTAAATTGGAATTCAAGTTACTAGGATATATGTGGTCCTGGTATATACTTTGCATTATTTCAGGGATGATAGTGAAGTTCAAAAGTTGTTGAATGAGTTTCAAAATGGCCGCATTATTCCAAAGTTGGATTATCACGATACAGAAACGATAACCAGTTGCATTAAACAATTTCTTAGCAAACTAAGAGTTCGTATGCACTCTTTGAATGAGTAGTTTAGGCAACTTATCATTTAAATAGATATTGATTTATAGGATCCAATAATTCCAACTACATCTTGGGAAGAATTTGTTAACGCAGCTGAAATCGATAGTGAAGAAGCTTTAATTCAGGGAATCATGGATTTACCTTATGCCAATCGAGATACACTGGCATTTCTTTGTGCCCACTTTCAGAAGGTTGGACTAAGTCCGGGCGAGATTTAGTGATTGAAACTATAGATTTTAGCGCTTTTTCACTTTTGATGTCAAAAATAACTGTCTTGAGTAAAATGAGTTCTGTGTGTTAGCTCTAAAATCACTATTTTTATTGAAGATAGACTGAATTCAATTTTGATATTGTATGATTGCTCAGATTTCTTAGTCATTAATTTAGATTTGTGATAATTGCATGCGCAACAAAATGACGCCAAATACGTTGTCTCGTTGCATCGCAGCAACAATTGTAGGCTCAGCTCCTCCATCGGTCACAAAGGTTGATGAGGAGGCAAAGCAGGTTGGTAATTCTTATTAAAGCATTGTACTTCATTCTGTAGTCATTTTTGAAAAAAAGGGCAAACCATTAATATTGATTATTTTCAGATAAGAGTGATGTTAGCTTTGCTTAAGATGCCTCGAGATTTCTGGCCAGGTTTCTACACTTTCAAAAAGGGAGTACCACTTATTAACACTCCCAAAAAGTTAGTAAGCATTCTTGCGAACTAGAATTAAGTGTAGAATCTTGATTTTTGGGATATATGTTTGAATATGTAGGAATTAAAGAATTAACTAGTATATTCCTTTTTAGTTTCAGTTTACAAAATGACTCGATTTTGAAAAACCTGTTTCAGACTCTTATGTGACGACAGTAAGACACCAGTCAGAACTCCTTATAAAGATCCGAACAAGTCAATTCTAGGTCCAGTTCAAACTCCACCATCTGGACAAGCAAGTCCTTATCATCCCAAAATATCAAGACGAAGGCATCTCCTGGGAGATATTTTTTAAATCTCGCTTCTTTTTTGCAGCGTCCTTTCTCCTTTGAAAGGAATATTGCATTCCAGAATTTTAAAAAGTGACATTGACGAAATCTCGAAAGAAATTAACAAGATTTTAAATTATTATCCTAGACACTTTTTTGTCACCTTGTCTAGCAAGTGCTTAGCTGAGGGATTAAATACATGCATATATTTCACCTAATGAAATTAAGAAAAGAAGTTGACAAAAGGAAAACATTTCAACTAAGCTACATAAAGAGTACTAATAAACAACTTAGTGAACTGACAGAGAGGATGAAAAGTTATAATAACCATTCTCCAATAATTTTGATTATGTAAGGGTAATATAAAAAAATTTTTACGTTTTGACATAGATGGAGTTATGTTTGTAATCAAAATTATTGGAGAATGGTTATTATGATAACTTTTCATACTCTCTGTCAGTTCATCATCTCAGTTCACTGAGTTGTTTATTGGTACTCTTTATGTAGCTTAGTTGAAATGTTTTCCTTTTTTCAATTTCTCTTCTTAATTTCATTAAAGTGAAATATATGCGTGTATTTAATCCCTCAGCTAAGCACTTGCTATACTAGAATTCATCTTTCACACTTCTCCCTGTAAAGTGCTTCACTCATCATGGCTATTTCAATTCGTAATCCATCCTTCAGTCAAAACTGAGACATTTTTCTTACGGCTTCTGAGATTGTTTCCAATTTCTATTAAAAAAGTCAGTGAGGCAAAAATTATAGAATATTCTGGTAATATTTATGAATGGAAAGCTGTAGTAGAACTTGCTGTTTTAAATAGTGTCTTGGACAACAGCGTTGACCTTGAACGTTGAATTTAAATATGTGGTTCGAATTTAATGAATGATTTCATATTATATAAAGTTTTTAAGAAAAGTAGATATGCCAATATGTGATTACTGTGATGATCAAGTGCAGGGGTTACACTTTGTTTTTATTGAATGGATATATTTTTTTCTTTTAGTCTGCGCCCTTGCAGATTGATTTGTAACATTTGCCAATTGTGATTATTAGTTCATTATGATTTATTTTCGATGATATTAACAGCGTCATGTTAGTTGGCAGTACTTCATAAGCATATATTTTGTAATGACACTTCCTGTGCAGCAGATAAAATGTTTTTCATTGATCAATGTTGATTTCCTGTACAATAAGTCAAGTCAGTTTGAACTTTAATTAAATTAATTATATCTCAGAAATGATTATAAAACACTGAAACTCTAGGAAAGGTGTATAGTTAGTGCATTTATTTAGACTGTTAGTGATGTTTTTAGTTACTGTAGAAGTGTGGAAGTTTGCTTAATTGCTGTTCTATAAAAGTAACGGTAAAGAGCGAAAATTATGTGATTAGACAAAGAGACTTTTGGGTTAAATTCGAAATATAAATATGCATTCAATTATAATAGTCAGTTCGTTCATTGAAAGTTCTTTAATATTTTTATAAATACTGAAAATTTGTGGGTTTGCAGGATTTCAGTAGGTTGACTTATTTGGAAAATGGAGATATGTAATGGGACTTCATAGTGTTGTTAGTGCTAAAGCTCACTATGATTCCATTTAGATTCGTTGTTAATATTTTATTTCTCATTTTTTTCACTGAGACGACTTGTATACATGATATATGCGGATTTATCGTCTCTCATGAAATAAAAATTTGGATGTCTTCATCGCTTTTATTTCAGAATTCATTAGAAAAAGTGATGAATAGTAACATTTGTAATGAAAGGTCTCGAACAATATTGAAAGAGTATGCTGGGATCATTAATATTGGCCAAATACTTGTCGATGAACAAAATATTCGTATGTTTTAACTCGGTGTAATATTTAAGCTTGATCAATTAAAATAGCTCAGATTATTTAGATATGACATGGACTCTGGTGTAGTAAAGAAAGCAATGCTTTGAATAAATCTATTTTTTTCATATGAAAGCTTACGTAAATTCGGAAAAAGTAAGATCTGAACTGGGACGTTTGGAATGAAAGTTAAAAAAATCCAATAATATGAATAGTAATATAATTAAACGTTTATTATATTTAAAATTTGTAAACTTAATCTAAAAGTTCCAATATTAGCATTCGGAAGAACGATGTCTCTATAAAGTCTTGAATTAATTTAACATCCAAAATCAAAATGATATTATATTCAAGGTTTAGATTCGTGGTCAGCTTACGGAATTTTATTTTGACCTTAATAAATGTGTAAAATACGTTTATTCGCTTGCATTACTCAACAGCTCTGTTTTTGGAATAATTTTTTATTAGATTAAACACAAAAATTGTTTTACATTTATAATATATTAAATGATCTTTATGTTCAGTGGAATAAAAAACTCAAAAAATCAGGTAGTAAACATAAAAATTGTTTAACACTCTTAAAAATAGCAAACAATTTTCTTGAAAATCTGTGACACATGTTTTCAAAAGAATTTTAGGATCTAAAAATTGCGGTTTGAGAGAAGGAGGTTTGGTCTAAAAACTTTCGCATTCAAACATTTATTTAAGAACTTATAAGTACTTGCAATTCCTCAGTGGTGCAATACCTTTGACTCTTACAGTTCGTTATCATTGAAACTTTTTGAAGTTGTAAATACTGAACTTCTTTAAGACTCGAATTTCGTGCATCTATTCGATTTGATGGAGAATATGCGTATAAATTGGCATACGGAAAAACTTCGCGCAGATTCTTTGCAGGAACAGATAAATGCTCGAGAATTTGAGTGCAGGTAATTATGACGCCATACAGTTTTCAAAGAATAGATTCTGTTTTTTAATACTTCCATTTTCGTGTTTAACTGCACATATAAATTTAGTGAAATTCTTATCATGTGTGAGCAATTTCATAAAATTATTAAAATGCGTCCAGTTATTATTAATTAATCTGGATTTCTTTTGGCTTGTTAAGATTTCATAGTTTTGATTTTGAAGTAGCTTCTCGTTAGGTCAAAATTTTCATATTTTACATCATCAGCTGGCAAAGAGAATTTACTAAATTGTAAACTGGGAGTTCTGGATGATTCGTATTTTTTATACAGGGTTTCGTAAAAAAGTTGTTCCGGATTTTACGGATAGTAATCATATTATTATCACATTGATGTTTGTGAATTTTTCAACCGTTTCTAGTGGATTGTGTCAAAAAAACAAGGTATACAAAGAACAGCTTCGGGATGCACGAGCACAGATCTTATCATTAATGTCCGATAAACAAAATTTAGAGCGTGATATAGCTGAAATGGAGAAGAAGTTCGCTTTAGTTAGCGAGCTATTAAAGGTTTTTTTAAAAAGTTTGTCATTTAAGGTTTGTTTTTCGAAAGTTTTCATGTCCTACATGTTGATATTATTTTAGAAAGACCAGTCCTTGCTGAAAGATGAAGATCGGCAAAAACTTTTACTTTTAAATAAAAAAGCAGTATTTAATTTACCACCTGTAGCAGCATCTAAAGTCAATCGTGTTCATCATAACAATGCACAAACCTTATCACATGGTGAAAATATTGACTATGATAAAACGGGTGATTCCATTGATATATCTTATGACGATTCAGACGAGTCTAATTTACGAATGAGCAAAACGCTCAGAAGGTAAATAACGATTTATCAGGATAAGCTAATTGTTGTGAAAGGATTTGTTATAAAAGCAGCAGCCTTCATTTTGAAATATTTGTAGGTCACAGAGTGTAGCAAGCGTGCATAATCCTATAACAATAGTGAAACGATCAAAAGAATCTAAGAGAATGGATACCGTTGATGAAGAAATGGTGCATTTTGGAAATGTGTTACTAATGATTTGAAACTAATCTAAAATGTGATGCCAATAAGTATTTCTTGAGCATTCTTGGTTCCGAAAGAAAATATCATTAACGACTATTTTAAGTTTTTATTTTTTGAAAGATAATGCTTACAGAGAATAAAAAATATAGCATATTAACCTTTAAAGGGTACTCCTTGCAAACGATCAAAAGACGAAAAAGAAGTCACGAGAAATATAGCAATTATGGGCAAAGACGATGTTAAAAAACCATCAACGGCTAATATTTCAATAAGACGTTCTAGAAATCGATCTATGTCTGAATCAAATATTCTGAAAGTTTGTGTAACTCTTAATGCTCAGTCGTTTGCTTTTAGAGTCCAGTATGAGCACATTTGATTTTCTATCTGATTTTTTTTATTTAAAGCATTTTAAGATGATCTATTAATTAAATGTAAAGTCGTAATGGCTTTTTATATTTTATTTAATTAATAGATCATCATAAGCGCTGGAACATTTATTTTTTTCTTGCAGCAAAGCGAGGAAGCTGAGAATTTGGGAAAGAATTCAAATGTGGCTCGATATGGTGCTAGCGCTCTTGATCTGGAAGTTTTAGATAGTTTGTAGAAAAAATTTTGAAACATTGTCTTGTCAATTATAATTTTAGATTTTGAAAGTCGTTAGGGTTTTTAGAATTTTTCTCAAGAAACTCAAAAATGTCTAAATTGTCATGAAACGAATTTCTTCATATAAAGATAATTATTATTGAGATTTCAGGCGTAGTCCATATTCTGTTGTCAAAACTTGGACAAATGGTGCTTCAATTGAAACTCGACCGCATTCCTTTGTCAATTTTACATCGATTCTCGGCGACCGTTGCGAAGTATGCAATCGTTGGATTGGTCTTGCCGGAAAAGCGTCTTATAAGTGCGCAGGTAAAAGGACTTTACGGAAAACATTTATTTCAAAGAGTAAAATGTCGTAAGTTTTTAATAGTTTCTAGATTTATGGCATTGCCGGTAATTATTTTTTCACATGTTGTGATTTTCAGATTGTGGTATTCGTTTACACAAATTGTGTGTAAGAACTGCTCCAATACCTTGTGTACCTCGAACAGCAACGCCACGTACACCTGGTAAACAGCGTCCGCGTTTGAAAGATTTTTGTCCATCAACTCAGCCCATGATTCCTCCTCTCATTATACATTGTGTTCTGGCTTTGGATAAGGATCGCTTGGGTACAGAGGGAATTTATCGGATTCCTGGGTAAGATAGTATGATATCTTACCAAATTCAGTTGTTTTCAAGGACTTTTCTTATAATTTTTAATATCTACGATTTTATGTAATACATAAGTATTTATTAAATACTAGTTAATAAACTGAAGCCAAAAAATCATTTAAGCCTTTGTTCAGTCTTTAATAGATTATTTAAGGTAGCAATTCAGGAAATTTTTATTTTAAAAAAGCTTTCAGGCAAGAATCTCAAGTTGTTAAATTATTAAATGAACTCAAAAACGGTCGTTCTTTACCTAAATTAGAATACCAAGACACTGAAACAATTACTGGATGCATTAAACGTTTTCTCAGAGAAATAAGGGTAAGTTCTAAGACTTCTTTTTCTTATTCTTTATTCTAGTACAACATTTCAAGGGAATACTTCTTTCTAGGATCCAGTAATACCTGCATCATCTTGGGAAGAATTTGTAACTGCTGCTCAAAATGGCGATCGCGAGGCTCTGAACTTGGCAGTAATGGACTTACCTTATCCGAACAGAGATACACTTGCATTTCTTTGCTCTCATTTTCAAAGGGTTAATTCATTTTTTGAATGATACCATGTTGCAAAGAAATAGAATGCGTAGAATATATCACTTCAGGTTTGTGATAATAGTTCACAAAACAAAATGACCGCGGATGTTTTGGCGCGCAGTATTGCTCCAACAATAGTTGGGCGAGCTCCTCCATGTGCAATGAGCATGGAACAGAATGCTGATGAAATAGCAAAACAGGTAATTTTACACATTTTGAAAAAACAAGGTATGAAAATGTCCATTCAATTTTAAAGTTCTGGAGTTTTAGAATGTAATCCTTCGCTTATGCAAATACTGAGTCAGGTTCAAAACAATATATACGCCGATGTTTTATCTCACAGGTAGCTGGCTATCACTGCAGACCTGAAATGAAAGGAAATTTCAGATTATGGTGATGCTATTGTTGCTCGAAATGCCACGTGAGTATTGGCCAAAGTTCTATACCTGTAATTATGGGAAACCTCTACCAAGGAGTCCTATCAGGTAAAATCATTAAAACAGTGGGATCCTCAGTAGAATCTAATCCTGCACTATGGTAACATTCAGGTTTACTTAAATGTTTCATTTCCATTATATGAGATAGGGAAAAAATAATGCTTGCAATTCGTATTCTTTTAAAACATCTATATAACTCTTAACAGTTTGGCAGTATTTTAGCCCCGCAAATGCGCTATTTGTTGAAAATGAGAAGAAAAGAACTCCTGTTCGTCCTCTGCTGAAAATGTTGGATAACACTGCTCGGAAAGATCCAAACAAATCAATGTTGGGACCAGTTAAAACGTCACCAACCGAAGAGTATGGAAGAAATTACATTTTATCCAATAAGCGCACCAAGCTTTTCACCAACAACTACTGACAGTCTAGCAATGCTAGCCACTACTATCATGACTGAATTCATTAACATTACTGGTACCGAAAAAAGTCAAATGACCAAGTATTCTATTTCTATTTACTAATTACTCGAGCATTCAGGACGATATTATCGAAAAGGCTTAGCATGGATCACCGTCTAACACTAGTTCGAGAAACCCTCCTATATGCTCTTCAAGTGCTGAATAACTGGGTACCGACAAATGCCGTGATAATTTATTATGTACTTCTCTATCTGCACTTTATAGTTGAAACTCAAATTCACTTTCCTTTCTTCATTCTGACTAGTGTGAATTATGTTCCTTTACAAGATTGTGTTGTGAAAATGCAGTACTTGTCCTATAAAACTCTAATCACATTTACTAACTTCCAATGTGTAACTTTCCATCAATACAATACATATTGTTCACTAATGGGTATGTAGCTTAATCCTATTGTTCATTATTTTCTTTAACCTTGTCTATGTAGTATGCTGATTAGAACATGAAATAGACTGGAAATGGAAATACTATAGGTGGAAATCTTGGCTTTATGTTACAACCATACATCAAATGCTACTTTATTCTGCAATTTAAACCACGCTACAGTCGATTACTTCCCAAAAGTTTCATCTACACCTACGCCTTGTGATCTTGCTTAAATTTCCAGTTCAGTAATTGGGGTGCTACCCAGTCACCGTAACATCCACGTTTATTCTTTGTTAAAAAACTTCCTGACAGTGTAAATCTATCTCCAATTTTATACTCTTTATCTCATTAAATTGTTTAAATGTATGCAAATAGCAACCATGCTATTATTGGATTCAAATGAAATACAGTTTTCTCATGTCTTCTACGCACAGTACTTGCTGAAGCAACAACAGCCAAAACAAGTTGAAGAGCTTCTAATAAAGAGCTTAAAAGATGGCACTAAACTCCTGGAATGCGAAGAAAAATATCTATTCTTGACTCAAAGACAACGAAACCAAGAGTTTCCGAGTCGACAAGGCCGATATATTAAAGAAGATTTATATTGGGTTTCAACAGCTTAATATCCGAGGCGAATTTTTTGCCCACTTATTAAAATAAAAAAAATGAAAAAACGTTTGTAAATAAGATGACAACGACGCTATTATAATAGTAAATGCGGAACTTGATAAAATTGATTGCCGTACGAATAAAGTTTAACAGAAAATTTATTCAACATAAGATAGTGTGGCTTATCATTCCTTCGCCTCGCGCAAACGCCTAATTGTACTTCTTACGGTTGCTGCTGCTGTTGTGCTGTATACATATGCACCACCAGCGACAATTTTATTGCATTTTGAGCACTTCCAGATACCAACACATGTTCGTTTCATGGATTCTTTTCCGCAAAATGTACAAGTATATTTGGAATGCTGTGTAACCTAAAAAACCTTCAGAATCGTGATTTTTTCCAAGGCTTGGGAATCTGATTTCTATATAATATGAGTCTAGCATATTTTTTCTTCACAATTAAGTTAACAAAATTGAATATAAAAAAGTTAATAATACGCCCGCAGGTTACAGTAATACGATTGATGACTGAGTTTATTCGTTTCAACTTGGGGACTTCAGTGAAACATTGAAACGCATGGCAATAAATGGAGAGTGACTGTATATATATCAATAGAATAATATCAATACCTCCATTTTTTTAACAGTTTTCCTGAGAGAGGCACCATAGCGAGTACCATACTTTCCTACTATGCCAACTTTCTTTGTTCGCTTAGCCATAGCCTAGAAAGTGTAGTAAACATAGAAAATGACAAGCCGCACTCAATATTAAACTTCTAAAACTAGGACGGGAAACAAGCATTACAGACTCTCTCCTCGTCACCACATACAGCTTATTCATTTTCAGACTAACAAATCTCATTCATACTCGCATCTACATAAACTAGAAACTTCTTCCCAACGCGAATTATGCTTACACCTTGTTACAATTTACGCTGACTCCGTAGGATAACTTATTAAATTAATATCCTAATTCTGCGGTCTCGTTTCGCTACCGACCTTGGAGTATTATGAAATACAATGTATCACAAATTATTTCTAATTGGCATTGCAACGAGAAGTGACTTGTTACTCACTCTCCTTAGTAAAAGGAATTCCGAATAATAAGTCCCTTCATACTATTCCAAATTCCTTTGGCTCCTTGTCGTTTCGTGCACCATTCCTTACATAAAGTATGAAGTACCATTTAGATGCTTAAACCAATTCGGGCATGAAATGCAAAAAGATAGTTTTTCTCGAAAATTTTCATCTCTGGTCAAAATTACGAGTAAATAAGGCTGCTTCCAATGCCTACGACTCATGCATCTGATCAAATTATGGTTCAGTAGCAAGGAAAGTAGCAGAGACATCTATTTTATGAAATAAAACGATGAAAGATCTTCAAATACAATACTTGAGAAAAATATCAAGTCATGCAAAGTGGTTTTTTCTTTTGGTTATTTTTCATTTCATGAAGTACATCTCCGATTCTTGGTATCAACTAGAGCTTCATGTAATTAATTCAAAAACGTCATCAGGTTTAATCTGCAGTTTTAAATCATTCAATGAGCATAATCAAACTGGTCATCATTTTCTAAACACACGAAAATGTTGGAACACAAAGTTAAAGCACTGTTTTTACGTAAATTTCGAGATTTCAGTTGGTCTTATCGGCCGTTTTGCGGAGTAACGCTTTCCAACACGCCGCAGTTGTGGTTTCACTTGATTGTCAGTAGTATGCATGCTGCCCTCCAAAGCGCTGTCATCAGTATTTTCACTATTCTTGCTATGATTCTGGCCATCAGAACACGTGTTCTTTGCTCGTTTTCCTTTTCCATCTAAATGTGGCAGAGAATTGTTTGTATCATTCTGATGTTGGTTCTATCAACTATTATGAGAACAGAAACTAGCATTGATATACAAAAAAATAATTAGTGTACCAGGCTTATTGATAATGAAAAACATAATTTATTATGTTTTTCCTAATCATCTTAGATTTGCACGGCTTATGACCTTGGGTTTGCTCGATTTTGAACTTCAAAGTCCATTATTTGAATTAGTCTGTGTATTTCTAACTTTTCATGTTTTGTACTTGTGCACCTAATTATAGTTCATGAACAGTCCAAATTCGGGTCAGCGTTTTAGCTTTCGAAACTTTTCTCAGTACTAGAAGGTTTCAGAATTTCAGGCATGGTAATTGAAGCTGAGTAAGTGAGTCAAAAAGTATCGTTTTTGGTAAATCATAAAGATAATTAAGAACAAACGAAATTAATTGAGCATACCCTGATAAAACTTCGGAAAATCACTCGATTTCTGAAATGTAGATAGATTTGAGTTATTTTATTTCAAAAAAGAAAACCCACTTTTTTTTTTAAATTCATCAAGAAAGTGTCTTCAAAAAACTCGAAATATTTAGAAGATATGAAGAGGGAATAAGATAAATATTATTCGAATTTGAGCATTTAATGGGAATGGTTTTTGTGAAACAGCGCAAAACAATTGAAAATTCGTCAATTAACAATACATCGAATGACATGACAAAATTTACCGGAAGTTCACGAATATTTGTTTGATCTATGTTATACTTCTTGGCAAGCATCTCAGCAGACATTGGTATTTGTTCTTCTTCAATATATAAGTCATGTTCCCACTTGAAATCAGCATGTTTCTGCTGACTATTTGATTTCTTTTTACTTATTTCTCGAGTATCATGCATAAAAAAGTGACCTTTACGTGGAATGTATGCTGGATGTTTTCGGTCTTGATCAACATCACTTACTGACACGTTCTGAAATGAAAAATTAAAAAAAAACAGCAACAATATGGCAGGAAAAACTTTGTCATGGTTACTTTTGATCGACCAAGAAATGGTAGTTCTTCATAAAATTACGATCAAAACTTATTTTTGAGCAAGAAAGCAAAAATTATCTGACTCATCATTTCATTATGATACCAATTTTATTAACATTTGCATCTAATGAATCTTCACTACCAACTGCATTATTTTGAAACCATTCAAACTAATATTGTCAACTCTTTAATGACTCAGTTCTTTGCATGAAACTTCAAATCCTTCCCTTCGAGACTATTAGTAGAGTTGCAAATACTAATAAGATCATCACATACCTTTGATCCATCTTTATCAGTGCATTGCATTTTTTGAATTCCATCACAAATATCCATAAGTACAGAATTTTTCTTGCTTTCCCGACATGATTCTACTTTCAACTCTTCTCGGTATGATTTTACCTTCACCTCTTCCTGACATGGTTCTACCTTCACCTCTTCCTGACATGGTTCTACCTTGAGCTCTTCCTGACATGGTTCTACCTTCACCTCTTCCTGACATGGTTCTACCTTCACCTCTTCCTGACATGGTTCTACCTTGAGCTCTTCCTGACATGATTCTATCTTCTTCAGCTCTTCCTGACATGACTCTACCTTCAGCTCTTCATGACATGATTCTACCTTCAACTTTTCCTCACATGGTTCTACCTTCAGCTCTGCCTGACATGATTCTATCTTCTTCAGCTCTTCATGACATGATTCTACCTTCAACTTTTCCTCACATGGTTCTACCTTCAGCTCTGCCTGACATGATTCTATCTTCTTCAGCTCTTCCTGATATGACTCTACCTTCAGCTCTTCATGACATGATTCTACCTTCAACTTTTCCTCGCATGATTCTACCTCCAGCTTTTCCTGATATGATTCTATCTCCAGCTTTTCCTGATATGATTCTACCTTCAGCTCTGCCTGACATGATTCTATCTTCTTCAGCTCTTCCTGATATGACTCTATTTTCAGCTCTTCCTGACATGATTCTACCTCCAGCTCTTCCTCCCATGGTTCTACCTTCAGCTTTTCCTCGCATGATTCTACCTCCAGCTTTTCCTGATATGATTCTACCTTCAGCTTTTCCTCACATGGTTCTACCTCCAGCTCTTCCTGACATGATTCTACCTTCGACTCCATCTTTCACACTTATATCATCTGAAACTGAAAATGAGAAAAAAATGAGTTCTTTGTCGCAGAAAACAATAAAGAAATAACGTGTCAACACGCAACAATCATTCGTTAATCACTTTTGCATATTATTTGAATACAAGCCATTCGTTGTTGGTTACAGTAGCATTCAAAAAGCAAGAATTGTGGAGTATTTGCAGTAGAAGCGAGGAACTATTTGCACTCCCACAAATAATAAGACAGTTGAAGAAAACAAGTAAGCTCAAAAATTGCAAACTTATGAAGTCGTCAAGGCCACGTAGAAGAATGAGTACAGTAAAGAGCTAAGAGTAAAGTACATATTAAAACACCACTCTAAGAGTGTCTTACGTTCTCTATCCTTCCTAATCTGTGATGAACCGGAAAAGATCGCGCTGAAAGTGAATATGTCTTGTTATCTCGCAGCTAACGTCATTAAATAAATCACAAAATTAGGTCAAAATTTGCATATTGAAAAAATCGTTAAAAACAATGCCATGTACAAAGTATTAGAATGTATGCAGCCTTCATACTGATTCATCTCGGAATTGATCATATACTTTTGTAAACCAAAAATAGATCATCGGAACACATCACCCTGCTTTCTCTGCAAAGAATCGCTTATTTCACGAATTCACGTGGCGTGTAAAGTGCAGACTATATCTCGTCAGGAAAGAATAGGGGAAGCAGCAGAGAACACATCCGAACAGTTTGACTCAACCGGTTGTTTCGCAATCATACCCAGTGACGTCGATATTGTCTATCCGAAATATCATCAAAAAGGCTAGAGCTGAGCTCAGCTAAGCCCAGCTAAGCTCATCTATCCCATGCCTACATTCATTTGTGCATCTACTAGCTATAACTCATTTTTCTAAAGCCACCACGTACGTAAATTGCAGGTTGTGCCCCCCTACATCTAAAGCAGTGGAAAATGTTTTGGAAGAAACGTGAAAACTGTACAACGACTTTTTGAATGAAGACAGGTGGAAATGAAATAAATAATTATTAAGCGTAAGTCGAGGTCCTAGCTGATTTGGCTAGTCATTAAGCGTAAGTCTTAGATTATTTTGCTAATTATTGAGCGTATTAGCTGATTTAGACCTCACGCATAAGCATTCACATGTGCCATAACAAAAGAAACAATTGAAAAATATGTCTCATCATTTTGTCTAAAAATCGCAGTATTCTGCTTCTATTCAAAGTGTTCTGTAGGATTGCTTATATATATATATATATATGTATACCTGTGAAATATGCAGATTTTAGCGTATGCGAAAAATTTGAAATGTGACGCTAAGGAAGATTATGTCAAAGTTAAATATTATTGCAGCGCAATGGTCACACAAGATGAAGAGTGCAGTGACGAGGAGTTAGTTATTTGCGATCGTTTTCGACTGGTTCACAAGATAACCAAAGGCACTTTTGGCACAGTTATTCTTGGTAACTTATTAACTTAGCAAGTACTGTGATACTTTTGATTACCGTAAAATTACAGTAATTATACAGATGCATCGTATGATAGTCTACTTAGAAAATGTCTTAACATTGCTACAGACACAAAATCAGCTCAATTAACCGTATGCGAAAATTACAGGCGTTTAAACGAATCTTTTCTAAATTTTTTAAATCTACTGTCTAAAGCAGAAGTGAAATAACATTTTTTATATTCATGATTTAGAAGTAATTTTTTTTTCCTTAAACGCAATGAAGTTATTCTTTTGCCATTTACAGGAATGGATCTGTTTAATGATAATGAAGTTGCAATAAAAATGGAAACTAAGAGTAACAAAAGAAGACATCGCTTGCTTTTTGAGTATGACATTTATAGAAATCTGAAAGCTGAAGTCGGATTTCCTGAAGTAAATGATTTAATATTTATTTAAATCGATAAAAAATATTTTTTAAATCATACTTTCATTATGATTATTTTCAAGCTATTCAGGCATTTTGGTATGGTAGTCAAGGAGATTTTAACATACTGGTAATGGAACTACTGGGTCCTTCATTGGAAGATTTGTTTAATTTTTGTGGTGGACGTTTCACTTTAAAAACAGTTTTACTTCTAGCAGATCAACTGGTAGGTACTTCTCAACAATGCAGTATATCTTTTGACAGTGGGAATTTTTGAAAAGTTTAATAAAATATGAAAATTTATAATAAGGCGTTGTATAAAACTAATTACTGAGTCAGTGGAACAAAAGCCATCAATTGTTAATGCACTCAAAGTTTTAAGCAATGCAGTTTCAGCTTGCAAGGTTACAAGCGCTGCATGAATTCGGTGTTATCCATCGGGATATCAAACCAGACAATTTTGCTATGGGTCTTGGATCAAAACACAATATCGTTTACGTAAAAATATATTCATTGTTTGCATCATCTTTCAACTGTTTAGATCAATAATTTGAAAATTTAATAGTAGTTTCATATTTCTTCAAAGACACTCTTACGTGTGTTGTAATTGTCAATATCAGAATGCAAGGCAAACAGCGTTTGATGCTTTCACCTCTGCTTCTTGAAATTTAAGTACTGATACATTTCTGACGATTATTTTTAAATGACGAATAGTAATTTAGTTGATAGATATGGGCCTATGTAAAAAAATATGGTCTGCCTCTGAGCACAAAGATCACAATCCATGCTTGAAAAAACGTGCATTTTGTGGTACCTTACGTTTCGCTTCGCCAAATGCTCATCAAGGTGTTGGTATGTTCTATCAATTATTTGCAATCATTAGTTTAGGCGTTTTCATTGCGATTATGAACCAAATTGTATCTCTTTAAACTTGAAAATTTGATACCATAAATTAATATATTTTGCTGAACAATGTCTTATTTTTTTAATACTGAGATACAATTTTCGTAAAAACAAATGGACGATATTAATCACGAATCAACTATTTTGGCTTTATTTGCCGCAATGATGAACTGATTTACAGAATTATGTCGTCGGGATGACCTGATTTCGCTAGCATATGCTTTACTCTATTTCATGAAAGGTGATCTACCTTGGTTCAAATGTAGAGCCGAAACGATAGCAAAAAGCTCAGAACTGATCTTTGCTGTTAAAAACGAAATCAGCGTAGAAGAGCTTTGTACAGATTGTCCAGGTTATGCGTGTCTACTTATCTAATCCTATTTGTTTCAAGAATTTACAATTCACATTCTACTTTTCGTATTGAATTATTTCAGACTCGGTTTTTGCAATTATATTGAATGAGGCAAAAAATTTTCCGCTTCTCATGGTATCAATTGCCATTTAACCAAAATTTAAGTTATTTAAAAACAACATCAATCAGAAAATTTTTAGAGAGAATAAAATTAAAAGTTTTTAGAAGAGTTTATGACGTTTATCAAGTATTGCAATGAATTAGAGTTTAGTCAAGTGCCAGATTACAAGGAAATGAGACGATTATTTTGGACACTATTTTTGAAAAAACAGTTTGCTTTTGACAATGTATTCGACTGGGATCTTTACAAGTAATTTTTTCTTCTGTAGTGTAATAGTAACTGTTTTATATCGCATACTTATTATCGCTCACAATTTGTTACCCTTCTATTTCAAACGTTGCAACTCTTCTTTATTGTAAACTAGAAATTTTAAGATATTCTATTTATGGACCTAGTGAAAAACCTAAGAATTAGCAAATAATACATAATTCGTAGTTTATTGGTCTCATAAACATTATGAGTATTAAATTTTTCTTCAATTACACTGAAAATTTAGCTTCACTTAATTTGAAAAAGGTCTTCGTTTTTTAAGTAAAAACCTACAAACATTTTACAAATGCCACATATACACATAAACTTGGAATCAAAAATTGGAAATTTAACTGGAAAAACAGTTTTCTAAAGATCGATTTCTCAAAAGTAAGAAGAAAATCTAGGTGCTAGCGCAATCCTAGAATTAGGTTTAGGTAGCATTCGAATAAATTTTCTTGAATAAATATTTCTTTAGTGCATTATTGATTATATTGTGAGAAAAGTTTTATTATTGCGGGTTTCAGTGAATCTGCTAAAAATCTTGCATTATTGTTAAATTATATGCAACAAATAATTGTTTTACACTCGGCTACATTATTTTGTCTGTTATTAGTGAAAGCTTACTTTACTTTATATTACCGTTACAGTTTTTGATATTTATTCTTAGATATTCAGTTTCTATAGTTTTCTATATTGATTAAAAATATATTGGCTGAAAATCATATTTTCATGCACTAAGAATTGAGAATTTTTATTCCCTAAGAAATATCATAAGTTTCGATAAATGTTTTGTGCACTGGAGAAGCAGAAGGATTAATATTTCCAAGTATGCATTACTCTTAGAATATGGCCATTTTAAGCCTCAGAAAAAGTAAGGATCTAAACTTGTAACATAGTTTGTAATATAACCATTTACAAGCACCATGTCTTATCATGTTTACATTTTGCATCAAACCAAAGAATTAACAATCTATCAAGATGGCTGTGTGGCAGACCTGTATGCTCAGGTTTATGAATTGAACGTGGTAGAATTCTACGCATATTTCGTCTGGACATATGTTCTTCATAAGTTGATTGGAGTATAGTTCGTAAATTGTAATTCAAGCAGTGTCCGCATAACTGACATTTCTGAAAATGTTTACAAATTTAATGTGCTTTTTATATTCTTCAAGCTATTTGAGTTGTTTGTGTTATCTTTTTTACAGGAAATGAGCGAAATTCGAAAAAGCATTGTATTTTTTTTAAAGGAAATGTATATAAATAATAAATTTCTTAGAGTAATATTAAGAGGAGATGAGGATCTACTGCTACATGTTTCTTGAAAATGAAAGTTTTGAGCATAGTGATACAAATATAATACTTGGTCTATCACTGTAAAAAGAGATATGAATATACATTTAAATATAAATGTACTTGCAGTAAAACGAAATGATATTGATTTCCATGATGACTTACAAGTTTTCTTTTGCATCCTTCGCTACCAAAACACTGGGAAGTATTAGTGGTACAGTCGTTACCAAATACTCGAAGATCTCGATCAGAGACAAACATTTCTCGAGTTTCTTTATCTGCACTGAAATGAAAACACAGAGTTAGCACTAGTACTAGCTGTCGTATACAAGAAACAAATGCTTGTTGAATGATTCAAAAACTGATCATGCTTCGGGAGGCTTCTGTATCAACACAATAAAATTGAAATTTGAACTGTTCAGCAACATTTTCATAGTCATTATATGCAAGTCAAGACTGCAAATGAGAATTAAACTTTGTACATACAAGCGATCTTCTATGGACATTCCATGTTGATTCGATGCAATGCCAACCAGTGAGAACAAATTCATGATTACTTGTTCATAGAGTAACCGATTGCGCCAAAAATGTTCAGATGACAGATTTGGCGACATATTGGCCTGAAAAAAAAATGCAAAAAATATATTAATTGAAATAATATTTAAAAATTTGAGTTAAGTAAGATTTAGCATTTCCAAGGATTCTTGCGAGCTTTTGATAAGTGAAGGATGGAAACAGCAACCTCCATCAAATAGACGTTCATTTCTTCATCAAGCATAAAATCGAAGCGACTCAATTCGAAGAATGGTCTGAAACTTATGAAAGAGTACAATCATTGTTTCAGTCATATTCAGTGAATTGGTTAGTTAATCTGCTTAGATTAATCTTTTATTACGTACGCATATTCTCAACAAGCTTTACCTTTTATCAACAAATTTGCCTCCAGCAGCTAGCATTTGACTTTGTTGTGATTCGAACACCTAAAAGTGATATTATTTTAAAAATTTTACAGTCCAAAGTATTGTACTACTTTGATATAGATTATCCAGCTCGTGGAAACATCATGTCTGTAATACCTTTTCGCCACTTCAAATCTTTATCTTTTTACAAGCTGCTTAGCGAATTGTATAGTATCGAAATATATGATTTGATATGCATTGATTCCAGCTTGCATTTGAGTAAGTTTGTTTTCAACTTAATTGTAAATCATGACATGAGAGAACTTTGTAATCATCAATGCTAAATGAAAATGAAGGCAAAGTTTTACGAGTGCGATGGTCTCTTTGATTCGATTCCAGATAAGACGTGGATCTTTGCCTGCCTTTTCAATATAAGCATTTAGTGTTTCTTGAAAAGTCATGTGTTGCTCGAGATAGTACTTCTTTAACGATTTGATCTGAAAGTTTAATTCACAATAAGTACTTACCACTGTATTATGCTTTCATCCTGTTCTGCTCAAACTTTTATTACTACCTTCCAAACAGGCGTATAATTATCTCCAATTACATATTTGTCTACATCATCTTTATCGAATGGTTCATAATCTTTTGGACAGAAACGCAGTAGTACATCTCCCTCAAAGATATATACACGAAGCGGTGAAACCGATGTAATTACTGTGTAAATTCCAATATCAAATTTGCTGCAAAATAAATTTTGAGCAAATTATAAAAAATTTGACAATTTATTTTATTACTAATCAGTATGAAGAAGGCATCTAAAAATTGAGAAAAGAGTTGCACACATGACAAAAGCAAAAATAATATTTACAAAGTAATTATGTTACAAAAGTGGACTTTTCCGATAAAGGTTTGCATGACTGTAATAATTACAGTAATTTCTTTTGAAGCCTGATTTGTTACGACATAAAACTTTTCAAGTCTGGAACGAAAAAAATCTTCTCATTGATTATTTAACAATCTGATCCGATATTGGCAGTTATAATTAAAATACATAATAGAAGTGAACCGATTATCAATAAGAAATGGATTTGAAATGAACTCCTGTACAAATGAGTCCTTATCCGAAAAATCAATTTCGCTAATATTTTGAATTCGGATGCCTCGATGACCATTATTTTTTTTTACCCACAACTTTTCAGGATATGCTGTTACATAGTTTAAGAGCTCTTTTTGCTTTGCTGGCAAATCGAAAGCTTTTGGTACACCAGTTGTTAGACCAGCGGTGGCAAGACTGACCTTCAGGTAAAGGATAAGACTAGACAACTTAAAAATAAATTATATGTGACTTAGTTTTGCTGCTTTTCAGTTTTTCAATTTCGAAATTTTGATGCTTTTTGATTTAGAATTTTATTTAAGCTAATTTTATGGAGTGAACTGAACTCTAATAATTTCTGAATTACTGAAATATCAGACAGTGTAGCATTCATTATTCTATCATAAATTCACCTTGTTTGTGTAATACCCTGATCCAGGTATATGATTCACTTTTTGATATGGCTTTAATTTGCTTAGATAAGTTTTAAGTAAAGGATCGAAGAATGGATATTCATGGCTCCATAGCACGTCAAAGGTTGCATTTCCAGGAATTGTGCCAATGTGGAGTTTATATCCAAGTTTTTCAAAAATTTTAATCACATGCGAAAGGTAATTCTCTAAGCCCTGAAATTTTCATTTTGCATATCAAAACAAATCACTTTATTATCAGTAATGCAATTCAAAACTGATAAAGTTAGTTTAATGAGCAAATCATAGCTTTTGAAAGGCTGTTTTTGTAGAAGATATTAGTAAGTTACTTCTGTGTAAGTTGTTTTCATAAATAGTTATCTTGGTAATAGTGATATTTTTGACAGCAGTTATTTCAGCACATGAAATGTAAAACATATCAGTAATGGACAACTCTGAAAATAGTCACCCACTGCATGACCCATTATCCAAGCTACTGGTTGTTTGCGTCTACCACATTCCTTTGCATTCTCGATTGAGTTCTCTTCTCGAAAATTGTTAACTTTTAAACTGCAATTTTACTTTTTGACAGAAAAAAAATTGTTTTAAGAGAATTTGAAATTGGAACAAAGTAAAGTGATAAATTATCAGATAATGATAGTCAATGAAAACTAATAATTATACAGTAAGTAATTAAAAAATGCTTCCATAACGATGACAACAAACAAATAGTTCAAATTATCTCAAACTGCTTCAGATGATAAGTTTGCCAAATTTTCATTGCATACTTTTGCACGTCATTTATCATAGCTTGCAAACGTAGCAAATTGATTGTTGTGAGAAAAACGCCAAATACCAAAATAATTGTAGCAAAATAAACAGGTCGAGGAAAGTAACGAGAAATGAGCATTGAGAATGACTTGTGTTCACAGCTTGAAAAACTCAAACGAAAAATGCAGATATTAGCATTCAGAAGTTACATGCATGCAAAATGACATTTTCTTAAATGATTTCAAAAGTAACAGAAATGTAACTACTAACATCCAAGAATATAATGATCACAGAGGGAAGAAATTATTCATTTGCATGAAGAAATTTGCATTTACTAAATGCTTACTGTAAAAAATTGCTTACTGTAGTGAAATGAATCTATAATATATCGAAAATGTTCACTTCTATTTTATATTTATTTTTATTTTTTACTTATAGCAAAAAAGAAAACAGTTTATCTTACTAATTATGAAAGCAGAAATATTCTCTGAATTATTTTTATTTTCCTTGCAAACAGTATCCGATTTCTTTGCTTATTTTATAAATTTTGAAGTGTATTTTTATTCACTTTTTTTAGTGAGAAAAAAGATTCTGATAAAACTGTTCATAATTTGACGCAAAATGAAATTAGTTATAAAAAATGAAAAATATCATATACAAGATCTATATTGATTGATTGTGATCTATCTATTGATTGCAAAAAATAATTAAACAATATGCGGAAAGATTCGAGAAGACTTTGATTATAGGCGTGAGTGATACGAAGATAGGTTTCAAGGGCACTGCTGAAAAATACCACTTTTTTGCCGTGCAATATCAGCAAAAAAACTTGTTCCTGTTGACCTACGAAGACTGTTTTTTATCTTCACAAACACTTTAGTCTTATTATTTTTATTAAAAGTATACAACAATGAAAATCTATAAATAGCAGATTCAATTTATATGGAATAAATTATTAGATCAAATTAAAGCTATTTAAAATTAATATGAAATCAGATTATTATTCAAAATTTAAACTTGCCTTTATAAAGTTGAATACGTCTTTTTTTAACGGTACAAAAAATGCGTGTTAAGTTTCCTAGCATTCATTTAATAATCTTCTATACTCATCTTAAATAGTTTCACACAATACAATCATTTTGTCATTTTTTCAAAAACTTTTCTCAGAATCTTACTTTTAAGTTGTTAAATTTTCCTACTAAATTTTAGAATATCCGTAACGTTGGAATGGAGTGAAATACATTGTATCACTTAATGAAAATCACGCTGACAAGAATATACTCATTTTTTATGCTTTTTTTTAAAGAAATTTGATCTCAAATATGCAAATTTTTCACACAACATATTAAATAGAAGTGGGGAGGAACTGCGTTAAAAATTATACGCCGTTTCACAGTTATTTCGACCTGAAAGTAACGTAGTATATTTCCTGATAACTTGTTGCAAGCGGTCTTTTCAATCAGTACCAAAACTAAAATAGTTTTAGATGGTATCATTTGCTACTACCAGTACATCTCATATATTTTAATGTAGTATTTTTACTTGGCACTATCAACAAAGATGTAATCACTATAATGGCGCAAAATTTCAGTGATTCTCAGCGATAGTATACATAACTTTTGCTGAACCCATTTTTATACCTTAGCTTATATCAAAAAATGACTCTTCAAAGGTAATAAGTTTAAATGAAAGTAAAAACAAGTATGAGCTGTTCACTAAGTAACTATGATTTATCATTTTAAAGTTTTACGAAAACGTTCAAATCAATTTCAGGTTTACTCTTCACATCACACTCGCAAAGTGCGCTTTGTACGGTTTATAGCTCGTCGTAAGCCTTGCACATTCTTATTATTCATTCAAAATGTAATCATGATTCTTCTAGCTGGATCTTTCGCACTATCCAAAATAATCTACGATAGCACTATTGTAAGTTTGCTGTTTCTATTCCTCATGAAAATTAACTACACTATCTTATTAATTGCATATTACAGAAATCCATGATGGTGATGCAAAAAGAAAGTCAAATCTACGATATTTATGCTGGCACCATAACTTTACCGAATTGCCATTATGATGATTTTAAAAATTATACGGTGATGTCTTTAAAATTGATATCAGATATCTGTTATATTGCTGAAGCGTTTTCGTAATTTTTTGATTCCCATCTTTCTTTTTTCTAATAAGATTTGGATTATGAATGCCTTATAAGAGTAGCCAATATAAGGTTATGATAAACAGAGTTACGCAAATACTAAACAGTAAACTTATAGCCTTCTTGCAAATACAAGTATTACATAAAGAATATTATATTCGCATTTCTTAAACATATAACAGTGTTTTGTACTTGAAGCATTGATTTACTTTACAGTTTGCTTAGATGTATAGCTGTGTTTACTTTTCACGATATCACTATAATACTAGAATGAAAATTATTATAAGTAATTATCTTAAAGTTTATTGCTTTTCAGGAGCTGTGCGAAAAACACTGCGGAGAATCAGCGAATATAGTCTTAATTCGTAACAGTTTGCTTCAAAATGAGGGCAAATCAGAAAATTGCCTTCCTGTAATTGAAACGGTACATGAAATTTTCCATCTTAGCAAATCCAATTTTCCTACTAGCAATCATAAAATGAAAGGAACCTCAAGTTTTCTTTCTAGCATCATAAGCTTCGGTGCAAAACAGTGTACAATACTAAACTCGTTAGTTTTAGTTGCCATAATTGCTCATTCATATCCCTCATATACATATTTTTTACTCAAAAATAACTCAACATAACTTCAATAATGAATGCATATTTTTGCTAGTGGTAAAATGGAAACAGAAACATTTTCAGCTGCGTTAGATTACTTAATTAATGCGCAGTCATAACTGTGCTATTTGTATTTGAAAAACTAGCCAAATTTTGCGAAAAAAGCGTCAAGCAGTAATGTAATTAGTGAGAAAATCAAAAAGAACTTCAGAAAAAGTGCCATGAACGATTTGCTCAGTGTGAGACACAAAGGACAAGGAAATGCCCTGGAGTAAATGGAGTACCTCTGCCTAAGAATATCATGATTACTCCACAAAGTATCGTTAAGGTAAGTTATACACTTTTGTACTTACAAAAAAATGAAATTAAACTTGATCTTTTACAAATCAGCATACAATAACTGCAGATATGATCAAATGACTGCTTAATCGTGATAGAGATAACTTGTATATCTACAGTATTTACTACGACTGCCTTCAGGTACCAATTGTAGACGTCTCTCTACTACAAAATGAAACTGTATCAGCATTAGAAATGTTCGTCCAGTGTCCTCGATGTATGATTCATTCACATTCTTATAGGTAATAAATGATAAATTAATTATTTGCGTAACTTTTAAATCTTACTTGATCATTATAAAAATGATAACATATTAAAATTTTTATGCACTTATCAAAACGGGAATTCATTTTACAGAAGGACGGATGAAATATGTTACAGACGATTAGAAACCGTTAGAGAAGGTTGGCCAGAGAATTATCGATTTTGCGATGATGAGATAATGAGGAAAGCAGCATTCTGTGCGACCTTAGATAATTAATAGGCAAATTAATGTGGACAGAAAAAAACTACCAATATAAACAATATAAAAATTAGGCAGTAAATTATTCGAAATTTGTGCTTTAATCTCAAAATATTTTTGCTCATATTGTTGTTACGATCGATGATAAATTGATGTAAAACTTTCATCAGTACACACAAGCACTAAATATATTCTTTTCACGAAATTTTTTATTATATTCAGAAGGTTGTCTACGGGAAATTAATTTTTGCATTGCGAAAACCCACTCTCATCTATTCTAAAATCATGGATCTTTCACAGTAATCGATGTTGGCTTTATAAGTTAAAGATTCTTTCAGCTTCTATAAAAATTGCCAAGAAAATTTTGTAGTGTTATCATATTCCACTCATTACAGCGCATTTCTGAGGTTTCATCTAAAAGACATATTGCTGTATTTTAGCACTTAATTTTATAGAATGTGTACATATACATGAGAATTCTCGGAAAATAATGTAATCAAGCCATACCAAAATCAACAAATGTTCTTTGTAACACAGGACTTCCAAATGCTCATACAGAAAATTACTTTACTGTTTGAACTCAATTGAAGTCAACTGCCAACTGCAAATAAACATGTATTATGATTCCATTTACACTGTTGCTTCGCAAAATACGTAAGACATGTAAACAATGATATGATTAATTAACTACCGAATGTTAGAAGAAATTCTTGATATTCACAAAATACTATGATGAAAAATTATTTGCTTAATGTTATACATCCGAAAAAAATACCTGCAAAAGCACAAAGAAAAATGCCTTTACACATGTCTTACACCAGTTAATTTATATAATTTCTAATAACTGAGATAAGCAAGAACACGCTATTTCAACAGCTGAAATTTTTTAGAATGAGTAACATAATATACTTGTTTCATATATTTATGAAATTCATTCATAAGAGAGTAAATTAAAGACGGTAGAAAACCCAGAAGAGACCAGCTTAATAAAATGATGCATATTGTTTTGATTTCATCAATATTAGAGCAAAAGATATAACAAGTTACTTATCATAAAAAAGAACATTTACAGTTAATTATTAAGTCGAAACTTTAACGGCAAAGCATGTGATCTTCCAGCGAACTCAGTGAAGTGTCAACTTTAACGTCGAAATGAAATACTTCAGCAAATTTTTCGCACAGAATCGGCAAAACTTCCTCCACTGAAACATTTCTTCGCAATTCTTGCGTCAACGAAGTTGTTTTTTTTCCAATTAAACCACAAGGTACAATCTAGAGTTAAGTTGATTGACAACCAGAAAAATATGAGAACAGTTCTGTGCATGCAAAACAATTCAGCACAAGTATACTGAACAATTAATCGAACATGGGATATGAAGCTGTTTAATATTTAATATACAGATCTTATTTGGGACGCTGCATAAATGAAAATTTTACCCTCTGAAACCAATTCATATCTGTGTTACAGTTCAGAGCTACACCATGACTAGCAATACCATTACGAACATTTATTCCAATAGCCGCTATTTTCTTGTATCCATTCTCCAACCAAATGCCTAGAGTACGAAAATATAAAATGACTTATATAAATAATGATCGAACAATTTCGAAAGTACCAGATGGAACTTCCTACAACCAGGATTTTGAAGAAACATTCATGATTTCTTAAACTTACTGAAAATGAAATTATAATGATATTTAAATAGTAAATATGAAAAATTTTCTATTAACCTGGATTAGATGATCGGTTTACATCGGTCAAACCAAATATACGAACGGTTCTAATAACTACTTCTTCAATAAGGTAAATATAACGGCGAACACCAACACGAGATGATTCCTGATCTTCACCTTTCACGTGTAATGATAAAAGATCAATAATAGGATAAGCGACAAGTTGTCCAGGACCATGAAATGTGATAAGTCCTCCTCGATTTATCCTACAAACGTGAGATTAAAAAACTTTTTTAGACAGTAAGTTTATTGAAGGATGCTTATGCAATCATATTTTTATATCGCAAACCCTGGGGTAATTAAAAGCAAACTAAAAAATAAAATACAGCACGTAACCAAATAATCACGTCTAATTTTTCAAAAAAAAGGAAACATATGAAAATCACTGTACCGATAAAAGTCAGCTCCCAACTTTTTCAACCTATCTTCTTCATCATCGCTATATTTGAAGTGTCTTATTCCAACGGTATAAACAGGAGTGTGTTCCAGTAATAATAAATAGTTCCTGCAAATTATTTATGCAGTTGAGCTGCCGTGAATAATATAATTCAACGACTAAAAAAAGGAAAATAACCTACTTCTTAATTGAATCTGATTTGTTTTCTCGTAAAGAAAGCAATTTGTTAGCATAAAATTGCTGCTGTTTCAAACCATCACCAAAAGTAATTCGCCCCAACCAAATTGCATCAACAGCACTTCGAAACAGTGACACATTCAGCCGCATATCAAATTTGAAACTACGTGCTGCTCCAATAACTAATATTTCTACCTTCCATACAAACACACAAAAACCACCGACTAACCACCACTTTTGAATTACAATACGAAAAATTTTTCGACAGAAATCACTACCGTCTCTTAGGATCGGGTGCTGCTACAGAACGTAATCTTTCTTCGCGATATCTATAAACCGATATGAATGCAAAGAGCTAAAAATAAAGTAGACGTAAGTTATATAACGGTATAATAAAAAATAATGTAAACTGAGTGTTATTTGAAAACAGTTATCTCGTAAAATTTACTGCAAGCAAGAACACTCTAAAACTTTCATTCTCGTTCAAAAAAATCATTTCCAAATATAAACATTTTTTCACCAGACTGCATCACGATATTTTTAACAATAAAATGTAACGATAAATAGTTTTGCCCAAAAAAAGTTTCAAGTGAATTTTATATGAATTTTATATTTGCATATATACGACCACTACCAAAAAATTACCTTGTATACCACTCGTGTTTTCCAGTATAGAATATTTCTCGAAGCATGTGATTACTAGGACCTGTACGTGCTAAAGAACCTCGTAATTCAGCTATACGCTTGGTTTCTTTACTTAGAATATTAGAGTTCTGAAAGCTACCGTTACAGCACCGATAAGACATTTCGACTTTCAAATTTATTGCTGTAGTACTATCGAACTGAGTAAGCAATGAGATTATAAAAAATCCAGCTGCTGCGTGGTAAAAGGACTTCACTGAGAAAACTTAATAAACAAATGAATCGTATTCCATTTGAATTACCTGGCTTACACTCTGCAGCTCTTCTGCAGCAATAGGTTTTGAGTGTTCGTAAGGAAATGACTTTTCAGGATGCCAACAAGCAATAACACCGTTTTTAAGAACTACTGTATGTGATTTGCTGAAAATTTGGCATACAAATAAACTTTTAAAATGAATGATATCAATGATTTCGTCCATAATTAAAGACACAGATGTGATCTTCTAAACAAAAATTTTAATAAATATAATGAGGTACAATTAATACTGCTCGAATGAATTTAATTTACAGGAAGCGCATACTTCTATATGAATATATAAATATATAAAAGTAGTTGGATTTAAAACAAGTGCAAAACATAACAATATAATAATTACCTTTGAAAGAGAAATATATAGAAAATATCAGAAACAAAGTATAATCAGCAAAAACAAAGTGAAAAAGTACATATTCTCAAAAAAAATCTAGTGGCAAATATATCAAATACCTCAAATCAATTTCCTTGAAGTCGCAAAAACTTCGACAAACCACTGATAACCGCTGAGGAATCCGTTTTATTGATAAAAAATATTTATAAACATTTCGAAAGAGCATGACTTGATCTATTCATCAATCACTTTCACATCACAATTCGCTGAAAACTCAGTATATGGAAGCCAAGGACGTGCATCACAAATTAACGAACTTTTAATGGCCCATTGCATTTTCATTTCAACTGATGGTTTCCACATGTTTTGGTGAATTTCGATTCTACCAAGTTTACAATGAGAGTGAAGAAGTTACGATCTCCATTACTTCTTACAATTGAAATTGTTATTTATGAGTTCTGTTAGAGTTATTAAGATGCGATATGTGTAGAAGAACAGCTTCAGTCTTAACGTATAGCTTTACAAAAAAAAGAAGTGTCAAGGTTTAGTCTATTTTCAAAAAATGGTTTTGATTTATTGTTATACAGAATACTATTCATTGAAATCTATCTCATTTCAGGAGATGTCTTCAGACGATAGTTTGAGTGAGGAAGATTCGAGAACTGGTGCCCGCGAAAGTGTGTCTGAAAATGAATCTGAAGCTGAGCGAGAACAGCAGCGGCGAAGCATTCGTTCCTCTTCTTCGCGTGATACTAATATTGATGAGGAATCTGTTTATAAGCGAGGTGATATTGTATTTACATTTTTCTTAGTTACATGCAGGTGATAATTTTTGTTGTAGTTGATCATTAGATCATAATTGTTTATTGCAGAGAAAAGTTCTACACCGGAAAGAAATAGTTCGCCTCCATCAGAACGACAGCGAGATGTCATAAGAACGAGTGATGAAGGGTCGGAGGCTAGCAGTGACTCCGAAAAACATTCTGAAATAGCCGAAGATTCAGATGCCTCTTCGGAGCGAGAACCAATTCCTTCGGTTTCTGACGATTCAGATGCAGCTTCGGAAAGAATTCCGGAAACTGCAAGAGATTCAGATGGCAGTGAGAACGATAACGATGACAATAGTTCCTCAGATGCAAATCAAAGCAGTAAAAATCAGAAATTGAGAGATATTTCCCTTTCTGGCAGTGAAAGCGATAAAGAAAGTGATAGCGAAAAAAAAGTATTTAGCAGAACTTCATAAACTATTTCTAGTAACACATTCAACTAACTTCTGGGTTTTGCACTTTTGGTATTTTTCGAAGTTATGTTTGTAAATAGTATGTGTAGAAACAATAGCTTGTTTTTAATCACTTTGTATTTCTTGCTAGTGTTGTTTTAAGGAATTAACGGAAGATGATATTGTTGGACCGCGTTTGTATCCTGATCCGGAAGCATGCACAGTTGATTCCGAACACCTTGAACCCACAATTGTTGAAGTTAACACAGCCAGAATTTGCCCGAAATTCACTGATGAAAAACTGTATTTTGTCAAATTCCCAAATTTTTTAAGTATTGAACCACGGCCTTTTGATCAAGAGCATTATGAGGATGAATTTGATGAAGATGATTTATTAGATGAGGAAGGAAGAGCTCGATTAAAGCTTCGAGTGAGTATTTAATCTCTTTGTCTTGCATTATTTATTATTAAATTTTTTCTGACGTTGCTGATACTTATCGTGCTTTTATTCTAGGTATGTTTAATGCTTTAGTGAGTATTGACATGAAGTAATTCTATAAATAGGTAGAGAATACAATTCGATGGCGTTATATTTTGGATGACTACGGTAATATTCAGAAACAAGGAAATTCGAAAATTGTACGTTGGTCTGATGGAACGTATGTTTTTCATACTCAAATTTTAGCTTATGTTTTGGTTGATCATTTTATTCCAAATTTCCAAGTTTTTTAGTGTGATTATTTAAAAATGCCAATCACAGCATGTCTCTTTATCTTGGTGGGGAAATATTCGATGCAACAGTACAGCCAATGCAGCTTGATAATCATTTGTTTTTACGGCAGGGTGCTGGCTTACAGGGACACGCCGTTTTTAGGTAAATCATTTTCTAGAACTTGTTATTCCACTCTTGTTGTAACTTTGATTTTGTTAAACACTATTTTGTATTTAGTATCATATCAAATTATATTCCTCTACAGGGTTCTAATATATTTGCGAAGTTTTTCTGTTAAAATGATCGATTCCTATTAAAAAAGCAATGCAGTTCTTATTAAACTTCTTAAAATTTTTTATATATAGAGAAAAATTAGTTTTTCGACCGCACTCAACTGATTCTATCACGCATCGCAAAGTTACTTTGTCCATGGCTGATCGATCCAATAAATCTCAAAAAGTAAAAGTCTTAACAGCCGTGGGTTTGAATCCAGAGTCGAAAAAAGCGGTATTAATTTACAGCCTCATCTTCCAAGAATATATTTTTATTCAATTTTAATGTTTTGCAGCCTTTTCAAAAAATTCGGTTTATAAGAAGATGCTTGCTCCTTAACATTAGCTGAAATTCATTTTTTTAGGAAATAGTCCGAAAAGAAGAAGAACGTATGCGTGCTCAAAATCGCCGTGAAGCGCAACAAAGGCGCAGTAGAATGCGGCCCTCTTTGGGTCGGCCAGGATTGACAGCTAATTTTCTAGAAGACAGAGATGAGGAGTCTGGTACGTGTTTTTTGAGCATCTTCACATTGCATAGAATGTATGTGGTTTTTGAGCATTTTAACACTGCATAAAATGTGATTTGTGAATGCTTTTGCAGAAGAAGAATCGATAGCATCGATCAAGAATCGCTATAAGCATGGCTTAGATGATAGACCATTAATTGGTCATTCAGATTCGGAAGACTCTGATTCCAAGCGACTACATGATGCAAAAATGGACAGCGATGATAGTGGGAGTGATCAGGTTAGTTTACTGATATACACATTAATTCCGACATTGTCTATTAATTTTCATTTTTAATTGCATTATTATAGTTTTCCATTCAGTGATGCTTAACTTACAGGAGAGGAAAAAAAATAAGAAGAAAAAAGTTATCATTGATGATGATGATGATGATGATAATTAGAACTTGTGCATGGATTCATGATATAGTCTTTGATTTGAATATTTTCACTACCTTTGTGATTCTCTTCTGTGTATACAATAATGAGAGCGAATATTATTTTGTCGTTTGAAAGTTAGCAAATTGAGAACAATTATGAAGCATTTGTTTACATTATTCACTTGTTTGGCGCATAAACATTTTTTCAGATTTACAGCCCTGTCATTAGTACATGCATACAGTACAAATGCTAAGACTACTATTAATAGTTCTTAATATTTTAAAATATCAATCCCGATGTTTGACGTTGACAGGTTTTGAGTTTATTTCATCCTAGTTTTTTGATTTAGAAGCAGTGCCTGACAGACAGTCTTGTGAAAAAAAAATTTGTGTCAGAGAAGCAGGAAATATGAAAATGAGAAGTGTATGCAGTGTAAAGGTTAGTTGCATCTGACTTGTTGAGAGAGATCCCAATCTTCATAGTTTACGAAATAGTGTTGGCTGTTATTGTTTCAGGTCTTTTTTCTAGTTGTGACTTTAACGATTGAATTAGGGACACTTTGGCATTGTCCGGTTCGTGCTCTAACTAATGAGTAGCTTAAAGCAGTGGAGACATCAGTCTTTAGAATCTGATAGGCCAACTCGAAAGAATGTGGGTCAAAAGGATTCAGAGGCTGTGTCCGGTGTTTTTGACGAGGACTCACTCGATGGTGAGGATTCAAAGCAACCGTCCTCTGTATGCCGCGCTGAAAAATCATTAGGAATACTGACTCAACGATTTGTTGATTTGCTGCAACGAGCTCGGGGAGGAATCGTTGACTTGAATATTGTAAGGATGGTTATTAATTCTTATTTGCTACTAGTATCAAGTTATTCAATTTGTAAAATGCTTTATTTTTTTTTTCTCACTTTTGGTCAGCAGTTAAAAAGTCTGTGGGAACTTACATAAGTGTATTGATATATTTAGTAACTTTCAAAGCTTTCAATTTTTACTTCAAGTTTTGAAGGCAGCCGAAGAACTGCAAGTTCGACAAAAACGAAGAATATATGATATAACAAATGTTTTAGAAGGCATTGGCTTAATAGAGAAAAGATCGAAAAATATTATTAATTGGAAGTAAGTTTTAAATTCCAATCATGTTATGAATCTCATGCGCATTCAATGTTTCACATAATTTTTGTTTCATATTTCAGGGGCGGAAAGTTAAGAAAACATGGCTCCTTTCCAGATACGGATTCCGAAGATCAAAAGCGTATGTTAAAGCGGAAAGCTGAAATAGAGGAATTAGAAAAAGAAGAACGAGTACTTGATACGCATATAAAATGGATGAAACAAGTGCGCTTATTGAGTACCTTCAATATTTTTGGTGGTTGTAATTTTTGCACTATATACTATTATGTAGAAAAATTAAATTTTAGAGTTTACGAAATGTGAGTGAAAATCAAAGAAATATGAAATTAGCATATTTAACAGAAGAAGACGTTCTTTCCGTATTTGGAGAAAGTCGTGTGTTTGCTATACAAGCTCCTCCTGGAACCTTTGTTGAAGTTGGCGCGCCACCTAAAGTATAAATTTGTACAAATTTCGTTATCTCCAACTCTTTAAATTTTGTTATTCATTTTGTGCTAGTGTTTTTCACGACACCATTCTTACTTTTAAATTATGATACACAGTTACACGATTTTGAAATACAATACAACTTACGATTAAAAAGCACACTTGGCCCTGCAAACGCTATATTATTGGGAGCAATAAAAAACGATCAAAATGAGGGCGATTTATTCACTGGCAAATTTCAGGTACTGCAAACTTGAATGTGATTTGTGCATAGCAGTTAATCGATATTGATTCATAAATATTATTTCTTCTAAGAATATTCTTATGATTGTAGCCCATGTCGTATGCAGTGGAAGGTGATGTTCCTGGAGAGTTCTTGGAAGAAATGGAGCAGGAGGGGCTTACAAGAAGACGGCGATTATTGGGAAATGAATCTAGTGATCATCCTGACTCCTTAATGCCTCAACTTCCTTCTCGTAAGTATCGGTTACTTCTATAAATGTTCATTTCTGAAAAATATAATATTGGCTAATAAGAAGAGGGGGATGTAGTAAACAACAATATTATACTGCAATTTTCTGATTCTTTTTTTGCATTATTAAAAAATGAAATTAGGCAAAAAAAACTTTCAGGAGGTAGTAGTCAAAGGTCGTTTGATCAAGAATTTAGTCCACGCCAGTCGCAGTCGCAGTCCACTTCTAGTCAAGGTTCGTTTTATAATTTTTAAAAATTTTATTTTCTACAAGAATTTTATTTTCTACGAATGTTCATTTTCAGAAATTCGAGAAGTGTTAAAAAAACTAAGCCCGCCACCATCAGAACGTGACTATATTTTTAGTCTCAGTCAAGGTGAGACATTGCCCGACTTATTTGGAGATGATCTTATGTGATTTTCTTCAAACGACATGAATACGCACTTGAAAGAAAACAGTTATCTCCTAGAGATGTTTATCATAGTGATATTTGATCTTTTAAATTGTTTTTATGAATTCATTGGGATATTATGGTCAATTTTTTTCGCTTAAGCTAATATGATATTGGCAAAAATTTCAAGCCCGAATAGTATTTATAACCAGCTCCAAAAAATGGTCGTGAATAAAAACTTGATTAGAATGTTTGAGAGTACTTTGGCTGAAAATTTCACGTTAGTTATTTTTTTCTTGAAATTATTTGGGCTTGAAACTAACATACAGAATTCATGATGTGCTGCTCTGAACTCTATACACCAGAATTTCTGAATTATATTGGATATTATTGGAAAGTAAATTTGTATTTTAGATACTAGTCATATGTAGTTTATTGCTTCATTTCGCTATACTAACATGTCGATATTAAATTAAATCGTGCTCTAGTGTATTTCATTTTGTGTTTTGCTATTGAATTCTGGAATATAAGCGCTGCAGTTCTAGTATATGAATATACGTTATATTTATGAATGTGATACGTTATATTTACCAAATGATTCGATATATTCACCGATTAGTAACATGAAATACTTGATTTTTGAATGTGCAGAGAGAATGAAAAGAAGTGGCTAATTATAAGGGTTATATCTCATTTTTTTAAATCATTACTTTTGGTTTGCATTTTCACTATTCTACATTCATTAAACGTTTCGATGTTGGGATTTTAGTATTCGGTAAAATGGAAAATATTTTTACGCTCCACGAATTAAGTAGAAATATTTTCAATGAAAATAAAATACTTTCTAATTTAAATTTATTGTTTCAGGGACCGGGATATTTGTTTCAGTCTGCTGATAACTTTTCAAACCCTCCTAGTAATTCTAAATGTCTAGTGAAGAAAAAATAACTGCAGGTCTGCTGAAATTTTATTGGTATTTTTTCATTGGTAAAGTCATCTGCAGGATTAAACATGGTGTAGACTAAATCCACATCCCCACTCATCAGGATATTTCAATATTTTCAGGCAAGTTCCAAGCACAAAACTCGTTTGATAGTTCAACAGAAACGACAGATCCATGTCTTACGAGAAGTGTAGAGTAAGTTTCCACTTATTTTTAAAAAGCATGCGTTTTCTAATACCTCAGCAAATTATGTAAATATGTTTTCTATAGTCTTCTGAGAAAAATATTGACTATTCAAGTATTCTGACGCAGATGAAGGTATAAATTCAGAATTCATTTCGACCCTTTGGTGATGCACACTATTTCCCTGCTACAGTATGAACGCAAGATGAACTCATATGGAGTAACAATGGGACCTCCTCCGACTGTACCTCCTATCAATCGTAAAAGTATTCGTTTGTCGAACTCGTAAGCACTTCAAATATCTTCAGTAGATAAAAAAATTAAGAGTATACTTTTCTAGCTCGCAATGAAGACAGTTCTTTGATAATACGTAAATTTCCAGACAAGATATGGCGAATGAATTCTCAGAGGACAGTATACAATCACTGCTAACAAAAGCGATAGCTGTATTAGCTGCTCATCTTGGCTTTGTTAGTATGTTCAAACTTCACACTACTTAAGATTTTATAATTCGAAGTACTCCAGCTCACAGCATTGAAATTTTTTTAGTATTCGTCTTTTCTTTTGTAATCAATTGTTGTAAATAGTCGGTACGAAATTTCGTTTAGAAATGGAATCATCTGTGTTGAGCCTCTTATCACGTATTGTTGCCATCAGAATGAAGCGGATGTGTAATAACTTGAAACTTTCACAACGGCGACGAGTTGAGTGCAGAGAGACTGCATTTCCTGTACGTTAATTTTTTCTTTTAAATAATTGAAATGACGCAGAATTTCATTTCATTAATGTTGCGAGGTAAATTTTATATATTTTATAAATAATCGCAATGTCAATATAGTTTCACTAGAACTGTCTGTGGCCAATGCTACATAACCAAACATATGCCATGTAAGGTATTAAGTAATAAAGTTACTGCTAAGAGAATGTTAAGAATTAAAGTCCTAGTTTATTCAATTATTGTTAATCCATATGTTATTGATTAAGGCCACTTATAAAGGAACGACCTTATTCTTTTTTTTTATGATTATGTAATTTCGGATTCTTAAAAATGAACTGTTATTCATATTACTATTTTAATTATTTCAGTCAGCACTGATGCACGCATTACGCTTGGAGAACATCAGCAATGTTACGGAACTCCATGATTTCTACCGAGATCGCATTATATTATACCATGAGCAAACATTACTTTCTTGTGTCAAAAAATACGAAAAAGCAACTACTAGATTTGACCATTCTCAAAAAAATGATCATTCTGCTTGTGTATGAAGGATCCGATGGTTTATACTGGAACGGAAACATGCAAAACGTTTTATTGACCAGTAGAAGTTGCTTTTCTGTTATCAGTCTGCACAGTTTATATGGTTCAAATAAATCACTATTGTACTAAAGCATGCATTTTCAAAACGTTTTGGATGAATGGCAAAATTTCTGACTTACATTCATTCCTTGCTATACTTGTAGATAACGTTGCTATATAACATGAAACACTAATCTATTTTAAAATGTCACTGAAATGAGCTGAAGACAGCGCACGCTAAATTTAATAGTGAAAAAGTGAAGGGACAAAGATAATCTGCCTAAATATTTCGTTTCCTTCAAGAAAATCAGAAAACAATGAGAAGACAGGTTATTTTTGATAAGATCATAAGACATTAGAGGTGATTCACTGGGTAGATGTTTCACTAATAGTCTTTCATTGCACAGGTCATAGTGACAATTTATTAATCTCCCTGAATAAGAACAACAGAGATAAATATTTCCGGAATTAACATCAATAATGTTTGATTTTTTTTCCATGGGAACAAGAGCCAAGAGCGTGAAATAAGCGATTTTTGGGAAACTGAGAACAAGAGCTACTTTCAGAATTGCACATAATTGAAAATGGAACTCGAGATAAAAGAACTCGTTCAAAGATGGAAGCCCAAACAATACAGGATTAGAATTATTATTACAGGGAACACTTCATAATGAGTATATTTTGAGCTTTCATAAGGCGCCACTAAGAACTACTTTTTTTTCGAATAGCTGTGAGAAGAGTAGATTGGTCGATTATCCCTGTCACGTTTAGATTATGCAGTCTGAGTAGCTCGAGACATTTTTACTTGAGATGAATCGCAGTTGGAACACCATCTGAAGTCAGTACAACTACAAGTATGAAGAGATATGCAATGTGAGTGTGATTCAAATAATTCAAATAACTATACCAATCGAGGCTTTGAATGTGTAAACAACGAAGGATTAGAAAATTGAAATGCCAATGCTGTTTTACTAGAGCTTTTCTACTTTCGATTCCGCAAAGAATACAAATTTTATATGTTGCTTTGTCAAATAATAAGTTAATAAGTGCAGACCTATAATGTTCATTGTTCTTAATTTCTTCAACGAACTTTGATGTGAAGGCTGCCGATGTTGGTAAAGAAGCCTAAAACAAGATATTCGTTGTGGTAAATTGAAAGTAAAATTCTTTTAATATTATAAAAGAAAATTAGAAGCGTTACTACTTGTTCTGCATCATCATGCGGGACAAGATCATCTTTTTGTGAATAAGGATCATCGGGAAAGTAAACAACCATCGGTGGAAAAGTTGCAACATTCCTCACCATCTGCAACATGCTCCGATGCTTTAATAAATTATATTCTTTTACAATAGAATACTCACTCCTTCAATTCAAATTAGTAGCTATTGCCTTCATATAAATTTTACGAGAATTCTCTAATTAAGAAAACATTAGGAAAATATCACTTTGGTAGGACCTTTTGAGTTGAATTATTAGAAATATTTGAAATTTCTTCTTGCTGTACATAATTTGAAGGTTTACACTGCAACAAATTCACAGCCAAAGCACAGTCTTTCTTATATCGAACCTAAGTACCATCTTATATTTATTGTCAATGATGATTCAATCTCATGTATAAACATTTAACAATCAAACATATCAGTAGTCTATTTGAATGACATGAAGCACTACGTTCATGAACATCTGAGAAAATTATAAAAAAGGAGTTCAGACTTACACAATCATTTTCAAGCGTTGATACCCTGTTTTTAGCAAGGACTAAGCTTCTGAAAAGTAAAAATAAAATTAGTCATACAATATAATAGATAACAAGGATAAAACACCTTGCAAAGTATCTTCTTTTTCCTGTAATTCTACCCTCTCTACATATTGTTTGAGAAAATAAAAAAATGTAAATGTTATTTTACTGATTGAGTCGATCTACTTCATCCGCAAGCATAATCTTCTCTTTTTCCACTATTTCAACCAAATTCAAAAGTCGATCTTCAAGTTCTTCATTCCTAGTCTTCATCACAGTATACTGTTCCTTCAATCTAAAATCCTTTACAGATAAATGGAACCTACCAATCCTAAACTTCTAACTATTTCGTTCACTACAACAAGAAGAAACTCACTTCTCATACTTCATTTTCCACATGCATTCATCTTCCCCACTCAAATCAACTGCGTTCTCATCCTTGGTTTCATTACAACCATCCCGCGAAAGCATCAAATCACAACAAATCAACCTGTTTATGGTTATAAAGTACAATGCAGTATACATGGGACTCATTCTTGGCTCTCTGTGAAACATATAAGCGCAATTAAAACCATCAGTCTAATGCTAGAAATCACATAAACATATTTTAATTGTACCTTACAAAAGCATAACTTATTCAGTAACGACAGCAAACCATTCCCAATGATTATCATGTCTGCTTTAATATCAATTATTAATGAAATTAATGATTACTTTCCAAAAAAAATGATCCTGGCAATATCACTCTATTACAAAAATCGAATAGGCAAACGCATATTAATACAGACGAAGCTCCATAAAATATGTACATTATTTCCATAAAAGGTCAGTAAAGGAAGGGGAATGCCTCAACTCAATACACATTGATCTTTAAATTGTATTCAGATTCCAAAATCGACAGACCAATAAATACTAATTAATAGCTGTTGATGCTCTCTTAAAAAATTATTTCCAAAGGATAAAAGCAACAAAAGAGTGATAAGATATGGAAATTTCACATAGAAGTTTACCAGTTTGACACGGGTACGTAAACAATGAAACATGCACCGTTTATTATGCACAGCTTCTAATGTTCAGAGTAAACCAAATGGCATTTATTAAAACCAGTGATCACGCGGAAATACTGACAACTCCCCATGCTTTTAAAATGGCTATGAAAAGTAAATTGCAAAGAAGATAGTTATCAATCATTCCCTTGGTTTGATATGAATACAAACATTTTTGAAGAGTAATGGTGCAAGTAATAAAATTGATGAACAAATGTACAAAAAATCATTTTAGATCGTCGTCATCCTCATCTCCACAAGACCGCTTGATTCTAACCATAAGTGATGTATGCCATTGATCCAAGCGTGAGATTTTATCAAAGGCTTTTACTGTTTCAGTAAACTTTGCCTGATTTTTGTCTTCCAAACATGATATCAATTCACTGAAATGACTCAGTAATAATGAATAAACTTAAGAAAACATCACTAAAATAGTGAAAAAATCTAAAAAAAATTGACCTGACAAATTTATATTCCCGAGAATCTGCAAAAGATGGAGAAATTTCTTCGTAACGTTTTAATGCATTTTGAGTGTCAAGCTGAAATGAATTCAGTGAAATAGATATAAATATCGGCGATATATGTGACTGTGGTTATGACGATGATCATTTTGGAAATAAATTTTCGCCATATAAAAACACAATAAACTGGAGATGAAAAGAACTCTAAACTGAAACGAAATATTTTTCAAAATGCAAATAAAAAAAACACAGATAAATATTTGAAATTCTTCTTCCGTTACGATAAACAAATTAGCCAAAGATTAAGAATATTACTTTGTCGCTGTAAAAAGTTGAAATATAAGACGAAAAAATAACCAGATCTGTACAGAGATAGCAAAGAAGTGACTGGAAAAAATGATTTTTCGCTGCATATTTTAAAGTTGGATGGTCAGCTTCCCATGTAGCTACCTCCTCAAAAATTTTGATTGCTCTTCTGTAATCTTCTAGCTGTGCAGCGTACTAAAGGTATAAAACGTTCTGAATGAAAATAAGAAAACTTTAATAAAGTAAGAAATTAAAGAAAAGAGTGCACAAACCATCATTTTTATTCCATAACTGAAAAATACTGGAAAAAAAAAACTACCTGGGCAACTTTAATCATACATTTAGTAGCCGAACTTCGACTTTCTTCACCTTTATAAAAATCCGCTGCTTCCTGAAAGCAGTTATTAATACTTTTTAAATTTCAATGATTTCTAGTGAGCCAATTTACTTCACGTTTTTAAATCTTTTGAACAAAAGAGATATCTGATTATGATAATGAGAGTTACACCTGATAATGTGTCATAGCCTGTGCCATATCTGGAGCCTCACTTTCAAAAATTTCTGCCATTGTGCAGTGGTATTTCGCAGCCATATTAAAACGTCCCATGTCTGTATAAGTCTCAGCTGTTTTCATCAAACAATCAATCGCTTTCTACAAATATCAATTCTGCCTAGAAGTCTTCTGCTTAAGTACTTGGTCATGAAAGTTTGATAAAGGTTTAGTGCAGTAAACAAAAAACAGTAATTACTCACTCAAATTTTCAAACGAGAAAGAAATATGACTATTTACTACTGATGATGATCTACTTATAGAAGTGAAAAGGGTTCTGCGTTGATCTGCAATCAAAATACATGCATACAACTAAAAAAGAATAAATTTTCGAATTCATTCTTTCTAGTCACAGCATTTAATTGTATTTGAAAATGTAAGCAAAACTTTGAAAACTGAGCAAAAGTTGATTAATATCTATATATAATATCTTCTAAAGTGCCGTTTCAGAGTAGAAAACAACAAATCAACTATACAATAATTAAATCTTCACAAACTAATAACAACTTTAATCTTGGTTCTTAGTGATTTGAAATGGGTGAATGTCAATTTATGTATTTCAGATTTCCAAGAACAAAACATGATTCAAACTACAGACCATAAGCTCTGAAAGATGGAAAACCTGCATAAAGAAAATCAAAAACTCGCAGTTTGCAGATACATTCTTGGACAGATAAGTATTAAAGAACAAGGAATACGCAAAGTTAAGAGATTTTATAGAACCTTATCATTTACCTGTGGATTAACTTTACGATAGCAATTCGCTGCTTCTGCGTAATTAGAAGCCACATCGTGCTTTTGATCTGTTGCTGCCGCGTGTAATTCCGCCGATCTCACAAATGCATCTCCAGCCTCTTTCCACAATTTCGATATTTTGAACAGATTTCCAGCCTTAATTATCACATCGCTATGACATATGTATGTTAAAGCAAATAAAATTTGTTCCCCAAAAAAAATTTTCAAAGTCTAACATAAAAAAATTAGATGAGCAACTCTTTTCAAGAATGAATTACAAAACAAAGATCTGCCTCTAATTTCCGTTGCAGCCTGCAGCTGAAACTTAAATTATTTTTATCCAGGAAAATGAATAATTGTTCTCTAGTGATAAAAAAGGAAAGAATACAATAGGACACGAAAAAGCTTTCTGAGACAACTAATTATATTTTTTGCTTTCCATATGCAATAGCAGTTGTGTCGTTTACTGTAAACAGATCTACACTATAAAATAAATTTTTATTTTTATTTAGCACATTTCTGAAGATATTTACAAAACAAGACAATCATAATAAAGTTAACATAAACGACTAATAAGCAATATTCTCCAGAAAACCGTAGCATGAAAAGCCCGACTAGCCATATAATAAGACAATCATTCCTATTGCAAAAGCTTCTACATACATGGCTAGTCTATGGCGAAGAGTTTAGAAATAAGTTAAGAATCAATATTTTGAGCACTGTGACTGAAATTCTAACATCACACAGGAAAGTTTTTGAACATCAAGCAGTGATTTTGATCTCACTAATCTATTTTTTTCTAGCTACTCCTTTAGACTCGAAAGTTGGGTCCTTCTGTTCGTCACCGAAAACTACTGCACGAGGTATTCGTCGAGATGAAGATGAAATAACGTTGGCTTCATTCAATGGTGTTGGAAAAGACTGTATCCTTCGTGGCAATTTCCTTCTTTCAAAAAACAGTGAAGGATTCTTAATATTATGTAATTTTTCAGAATGATGATCTCTTTCTTCAGAAATTAGAAAAGTTTGCAAACACATTGGCTCATAACATCGATACAAGGCTGCAGAAGGATCGCGATCGCGTCTAGTTTTAAATATAGAACAATGGACTTCGTCAATGTGGATCTCAAAACAGTGCAGATTCGGAAACTGTTGACCACAAACAGCACACTGATGTTTGTGAAATCGTTCATAATGATTTTCAAAGGACAGAATGTCATCAAAACCCATTCCACAGCCACTTTCTTCGCATATCAAATCAAATTTTGAAATCGGAATGTCTTCCTAGAACTGCTCATGGAACCCACAAAATTGTCTAAGCACAGAAAAATTAAAAAATACGATTGAATGACATAAATGTGTGGGACCGAAAATATCCCAAACACGAAACAAAGTGAAAATAAAGAGAAGTTATTCTGTTGACACAGGATGAATTTATTGGCAATTTTTGAAGTAACCACTTGTTGCAAATTTCATAGATGAATACATGAAAAAACCCACTAACTTGCACAAAGAGATCAGCAGCTTCTTCTGCTTTCCCAGCACCAAATAGGCTGCCGAAAAATCCTCCTCCACCCTTTGCCTTCTTCTCAGCATCTTCTAACTTTTTTCGGGCTTTGACCTCATTTTCAGCCATTGAGACTTAGTATTAGCAAGTGATTACGATAAAATACTTTGTATTGGACCTAAAAAGGTCTACTTGTAAGAAATCATGGAATATGAAAATAAAAAACGTGAAATACAATGGTAATTTATAAATGAAAGTACGAAAAGGTAAGTGACACGAGAAACAACTTCTCTGATTTCAAATGTTACAGTCTTTGAAAGGTAAAATAACATCTTATTAACATACAATTAATAATGAATCGCTCTGAGGATGGAAGTTTTACGACGATTTTAAGAGAATGTTTCACAAATTGCTAATCTTGGATGCAAAGTCGATAGAATAAAACACCAGCCTTGCATTTCAATATAATGCATAACAAAAGCGAATAACTTGGCAGACGATGCCAGCTCCTTTCATTGATTTCCGTTTGCATATGAATTCCTCTCTCACACAAAGTTCTTTGTGCGTCACTTTTTTCTTCGACAAGAATTCAGTCATCCGAATCAGCTGATCAAAAGCTTTTGCCAATTACTATTTTTAGCAAAAACTTGCAATCTGCACAACGATTAAGTCTTTTCCAACAAGTCTGCCCACTTAGCCATATTTTTCCGAGAACTTTGCGCAAACTTATTCATGCTTTTAGTTGAAATCCGCAACCGACTAATTCATGCATCTCAAAGAAAATCATTCAGAGCAAACAAATATGTAATTAAAACAAGTGGTGCAAAACTTAAAATAAATGTTCAAATAATTCAATAAATTTAAAATAAAAGCTAAGCAGGAACAATGTTACATATTACTGGAATCACAAGACATGCTTGAAGTTAATGAATTTTGAGAGACCTGGTCATTTTCGATGTTATGGTCATTTCTGATGCATGAAATTGCACAACTTGTCCTTTCAGTTACATTTACTTTTTTAAGCAAAATAATTTTCACTGTGATACATATAACTATCTAAAGAAAGCCGAATGCATCTAAAATGGTCAAAAATGCAGCTTTGACCAC